AAGCTCATTATGTACTAAGTGCCAAATAAATGTTGGATGGCATATTACTAGATTAAACTTGGAATTTTTTCTTGTTAATTTTCCAGTTAGCATATAAAATAATAAGTTTCAGCCAGGTGTGGTGGCACACAATTTTAGTCCCAGCACTAAGGAGGCAGAGGCGGGGGATCTCCGTGAGCTCTAGTTCAGCCTTGTCTACATAGCAAGTGCCAGGCGGGCTGGGTCTATAGGGAGACCCTGTTTCATAAAGACCAAAAACAAACAAAGAATAAACAAATAAAATAATAGGTTTCATTATGGCATTTTGGTACATAATTTGGTCATTTTTGCATTTATTTCTGTGTATGTTTGTGCATGTGTGTGGATGCATGCCAAGGCCCATGTATGAAGGTCAGAGGACAACTTACTGGGACTGGTTCACTCCTTCCAACACACATGGGTTCTGGGTATCAAGCTGTTTCACTAAATTTTTCCTTTTCCCTCCCTTCTTGGGAGACTTGTGCCTGCACCCTCTGAGGCCCCAAGGCTAACAAACTGACATAAGATATCCTATTTGAATTTTGCATATTTTATATGACATTTGGGAGGGGGTGACTGACAAAGAAATGGCTTCTCATAACCCATGCGCTATTCAAGCCCACCCATAATGTCCATCATCTTTTGAGTGCCACGCCCACGGTTTGAGTGCTTCATCTTGAGCCTGTGCATGCTGACTAGCCCTGCAGAGTTCAGAGTTTGTGCAGGGCTGTACAGGCTGGCTTGCCCCCACTAGTCCACAATTACCGCCAGCTTTTAGCACTCGGCCACTTGCCTCTGGGTCCCAGCTCCCAACAGTGTACATGCTTTGTTTCCTGAGTTCCAATATGACCTCCTGCTAACTCTCCATCTGCTCACTCTCTAAGTGGAGGCAGCTCCACCCCTTTTCCCAGTGTCCTTCTCGTCTTGCCCCTGACTTACTCTCTGTAGGATAACTCTTCTGAGGAATGAGTAGTTTTGGGGCTAGACTCCACCCCTTTCCTCTGGCTCTTACAAACTTTCCACCACCTCTTCGGTGAATTTCCCTGAGCCTTGGGAGGGGGGGCTCTGACAGATGCAGGGCGATCTCTTTTGTATCATGGTGAGATAGTGACCTCTTGGGCCTCCCAATCATTCATCTTCAAGATGTGGCTGCTGATCTATCTCAGTGGTGTTTCCCCTACTATAAAGACAAGTGGAAGGAAGTAGACACATCTACACATACACGGATGTAAATACAAATATCTAGAAGATATCCCAGTAGGTGTACCATATTCATTAAATAGTATACTTGCAACAGCTTCCCTGCTGGGGCCTGTACCCTTCCCTGACACAGGGGGTTGGCCTGTTCTACAGCACCAGATGCGTGTTCCACCCCTAGGCATGGGCCTTATCCAATTAGAAATTTGTCAGTTGTATGTATGTTAGTCCAGCCATTATTGCACTAACAGGCATTGCTTGGAATGTTCATAGTGTGCAGCACATGGGCTCCATTGTTGACCAGAATCATGGGGGATCCTTTCTTCCCTAACCATCTGCATAGCACCTTCTGGCACTATGAAAGCCATCCATCCAGTGGCATGAAGTTTTTGGCTTAGTTTCAGCTCTGTCTCTTCTTCTCTCATGCTCACGTCATGCAGTGTCTTCAGCAATGTGACCTTACCAACATTTCTAGTATACAACTGACAATAGTGGCAATAGCCTTGGTGAATTTGAGATCCTCTAGGATCTCTCTCTGACCAACAGCTCATAGGGGGGAAATCCAACCGTGGTACTGTAGTTTTTTTAAATAGTTGTATAGTTTTGGGAGCCTCTGTTTTTATCTTACCCAACCATAAAACTCCCAAGAATCTTACAGCTATGGCTGTATTTTTTTCCTTCAGGTATCTTTCAAATGGGTTTCAAATCTGTAAAACACTCAGAGGTTAACATAATATATTAAATCAGTCATAGACAAGGTCTAACACAGAATGGAAAGGTTTTATCCATTCATATTAATTGCTTCTCCATATATCTCTCTTAGATACCATAGCATGGGTAAGAGGCATTAATTTTGTTAGTTCTTTACTATCCTTAGTTACCTTTTGGAGTCACTCCACATTCTGAGGTTGTTACATGGATTCTCTTTGTATCTTATCCTTGATACATTTACAGGTACTGGCTCAAGTTGCCTGACCCTGCATTGGGCTAAGGAGGCAGAGGGTCTTTCTTGTCCCTGAGGCACCTGTTGGTCCCCTGAGTCAGGCAGGCCCTGGGTCTGCCTCTTGGCTGTAGCCATATTTGCTGCCTCTCCATAGACCATACCTGGCTGCTAGGGGAGTCCCTGGTGGGAAAAACTGCCTCCACCCCAGCATAGCCTTTATCAGTAGAGAAATGCACCATATTTAATCTTTGGGGATTGTTACCCACCCCTGGGACAGTTTTTATCCTCTGAGTGTCTTTTGTAAACTGTTCTTCTGTTTTAAAGACTTTCAGAAACTCCTTAGTACTGAATTTGGTTTTCTATCAGTTTTTTCTTTGGGAATTTGGGCTCGACATAAATCTTGTCACATTTGTCTTCAAGTAATCCAAACAGATCATTTCTTCTGTCTGGTCTTTTTTATATCTCTTGTAGGGTGTTCTGTTATTCTACAAACACATTTTACATGCTGGTCTGAGTCACTTAGATCTGCTAAAGCCTCCCTCACTTTACAGAGATTCTGTCCCATCAAATGACCTAGCAAAACCATTAAAGCTCTATCCCATTCTTGATGTCCCAGTTGAATTAAGTTTTTTTTTTTATATTTCTAGTGAACACAGTCTTATCTGGCCCAGTGAACTGGGCATCATATATTGATTTTCTCATACCTAGTTCTCTCAGTAATGTCTGTCCTTCCCTCCTTTATAGTCTCCCAGCCTCTGTTAATCATGGGCCTTTCCATTGGTGATGACCATGTATCTTTAATGCCTTGCACCAGCCATCCTATTAGGGACTCCTCCCCCCCTGCACTGGCCTAGGTTGAACAGCCTATGTCCCAAGGATGAATGGGTGGTTATATAACTCAGTTGTGAAGCTTCTGAAGTACTTAGACTGACATTATTTGCTCCCATGTCCCATACCCTCACGAGCCATGTGGCAAGGGGCTCTTTGCTTATTTGTAAGTCTTTCCTAGTTTCAACAGCTCCAGTGTGGAATATTTTATCCTATCTATAGTCTTGCTAACTTTTTTCTCCTTTTGTATCAAAGGTTGAATCTGAGGGGCAGCTCTAGCTGCTTTTATTTCTAAGTTGTTTTTTTGTTTTGTTTTGTTTTTTTTACTACTATCTGTCTTTTTCCCTGGGTCCTTGGACTCCTGGTACCCTAACCTTACACAAGTTAAAAACTTCTGTCTTCTCTCTCTCCCAAGCTCTGAGGCTAAGAGTTACTCCTTAGCCTTTTCAGCAGCCTCTGCCTTGGGCAACTCTTTTATTATGCAAAGTAGTGGCTATGCCCCCTCTCTGTTTTCCTCTTTTGCTTGTAAGATTTTTTTCCAAGTTCTCTATAATCTTTAAGGAGTTTTCAGATCCATGTAGTGGCAGACTCCATTTTTTAGCAACTGAGCTATTTGCCCACATTTACAGCACAGCTGTGGCCCAGGGATTTTCCCCTTTGAGTCTGTCCATGTCTGCATGGCCTGCATCATTCTAACTACATATTTCATGATACATTGTATAACAAATGTAAGCATAGCTAGCCCCCTTAAACATATGGGGTTTGGCCACTCTCTGTCTGGGTTCCTGCCAGCTTCTCCTGGATGGGTCACATTACCTCAAAGGACTCCTTGCAGTGCCCATTGGGTGGATTTGGGAGTCTGAACCCAGCTACCTTTCGATCTGCTCACTAGATGCTTCTGGAACCGTGATGCTTTCCGAGGCCCACATCCCCATGTTTTTCTTGGATGCCTGTGGTTTCTCTATCCAGCCGTTCTACGCCAATCATTTCACTAAATTTTTCCTTTTCCCTACCTTCTTGGGAGACTTATACCTGCACCTTCTGAGGCCCCAAGGCTAACAAACTGACCTAAAACATCTTATTTGAATTTTGCATATTTTATATGACATTTGGAAGGGGGTGACTTACAAAGAAATGGCTTCTCATAACCCATGTGCCATTCAAGTCTACCCGTAGTTTCCATCAGCTTTCAGGTACTGCACCCACTGTTTGAGTGCCTCATCTTGAGTCCATGCATGCTGATTCACCCCACAGAGTTCAGAGTTCCTGCAGGGCCATGCAGGCCAGCTCTTTCCCATTCGTCCACAGTTACTGCCAGCTTTTAGTACTTAGCCACTTGCCTCTGGGTCCCAGCTCCTGACTGCACACACTTTACTCCCTGAGTTCTAATATGGCCTCCTCCTAACTCTCCATCTGCTCACTCTCCAAATGGAGGCAGCTCCACCCCCCTTCCCAGGGTGCTCCTAGTCTTGCCCCTGGCTGGCTTTTCAGAGGAATGAGTAATTTTTGGGCTACACAAGCTCAGGTCATCAGACTCAGCAGCAAGCACCTTTACCTGATGAGTCATCTCACCAGTCCTGTAACTTGTTTTTTTCATATTGGTCTTCCCTGACAGCCCCCCCCCATGTTCTCCCTGCACCCATACATGTAGACATAGATTTAAAAGACTTTGATCCAGTTAGTCAGTGAGCTATAATATGATTGAATGTTTGTGTGACAGAATGTATACTGAATATGAAAATTATTCTGAACACTTAACACCAAGGTTCTTTTCATTTTGTCAAGTGAGTAAATGTTTGGTGAGTGAGAAAATCAGTTAGTACATAAGAAAATCATGCTCCATAAGAAGTTGGAGTTGTGTAGCTATCTAATCAATCACTATTTTCTATAGTGTGATTTAAAAATACTAACATAAACATGTTGAAACAGTAACTCTCTAATAAACATGCATATGTTGTCATTAAAAGTTCTCACTTTAATTTTGAATTGAAATTCTTCTTTCACATTTCTCTAGCAGTCAAGAAGTCTTGGAGATCATCTCAGAGCAACCTGAAAGTAAGTGTCATTGATTATTTCAATGTTGGCTATATTGCTTTAGTTGCAGAATTGATTGGGGGGGTGGTTTCAGCTGTGTTTTTCATTCACTACACTGATCCTATTTCACACTAAAGAAAAATCTTCTGGTGCATTGTGTCTAATTGCAGTACTGGCATAGCCCCAGGTATGTGAGCAGACTTTCAAGTCCTGGCTCAAGTTCCGAATCATTTCTGCAGGACATTGCACATAAGTTCTAGTTCCTCTTCGTGCTCCCCACTGCCATACACCTAAATAGACGGTACTTTCTTTCATGAATGAGTATAGCCCTGCAAGTACAAAGCATGGATGGATTTCCAATTATCATGGATTGTGTAGAGGCTGATTCTAGACTCAGGAAACACATCTATTTATTTCTTTTAAAATTATTTTGATTTATTTATTTTTATGTGCATGAGTGTTTTGTCTGCAAATATGGAAGTGCACCAGGTGCATGTAATGCCCATAGAGGTCAGAAGAGGGCATTGGATTCCTTAGAACTGGAGTTACAGGCAGTTAGCTGCCATCTGGGTGCTGGGAACTGAACCAAGGTCCTCTGTAAGAGAGGCTGGTGCACTTAACCTCTGGGCCATCTCTCCAACCCTGTGTTTATTTTTTGATATATGGTACTTCTCCTAATCCCTTGTTTCACTTTCCATAGTCTTAGTTACCTATGGTCAATGGTGATCTGAAAACATTAAATGGAAAATTTCAGAGGAAACAAGAAGTGAGAGAGGGAGGGAGTGAGAGAATTTGATTAAATTGTTAATCTCTTACCATGTTTAATTTATAAATTACATTATATCATGCATGCACGCATATGGAACTATTATAGTACATAGAGAGTTCAGTGGTATTCACAGTTTCCCACATTCTGAGGGTCTTGTATGTATCCTTGTATATGTATGTAAAAGATTTTTTCCTTCTCAGTATTCTGTAACATGCTGGTATCTGCACAGTAGCCTCATCACAGCTATAGGAACCTACATATTCCTGTGTGTCTTTGATAGTAAGTGGCACCAAGAACATACTTCCAAGAGACAGGATGCTATTGCACAGTAGTACAAATTGTAACCAGACTACCTGGCTTATAATACCAGTACATCACTTATTGGTAGTCTAGATTTCAGTGAAATATCTTTATCTCAGAATCCTAATTTATTAACATGGGATAATAGGATACACATCATAAAGTTGGTCTAACATGAAATAATATCAAAAAGTGAAACTTTTTGAACTATCTGTGGCTTACAGTAGTTCTTGAAGTTTTTAAAATTATAATTCCAGCAGGCTAGTGAGTAGCCTGCTTATCATGTTGTATAAATATAGTTTCTAGTTGCAAGAAAGAAACAAGGCAAAAGCCAAATTCCATCATCTTTTATTTTTTGTGTTGCTGGAGAATTTCATATATGCATATAATGTGTTTTGATCAAATCTACTCCTCAATCCCCCCCTTCAATCCTCCCTTATCCCCATCACTTTTCCCTCCCAATTTCATGTGTTCTCTTTTAAAACCCACTGAAGATGCATAAATCCCATCATATTTTAAAATTATTTATTTTTATTTTATGTATATGAATATTTTGCCTATATGTAAGTAAGTGCACCATGTGCATACAAAGACCGTGGAGACCAGAAGAGGACATCAGGTTCCCCGGAACTTGGAGTTACAGACAGTTGCTAGCTGCCATATAGGTGCTGAGAACCCAACTTGGGTTCTCTGCAAGAACAGCAAGTGTCCTTAACCCCTGAGCAATCTCTCCAGCTCCAAATTCCATCATCTTAACATGTCTTTCAATTCTCCTTTCACCTCATGACCCCTTACCATTCCTTCACGTGAATTTACTCATATCCATATCTCCAGGAAACATGAAGCAATGGCTGTGTACATTTTCTTGATGGAGTGTCTAGTAAGCAGTTCTAAATTATATTCTTCAGATTCAACTCAATTTTAGCAACCCTTGGGTGCCCCCCCCACTTTTTATGGTTCTTTGACACAGGGTCTCACTATATAGCCCAGGCTGGCTTCAAACTTGCTATGTATTGTTGTGGGTTCTCCTCGGGCCAGCTGTGAAGACCCTGACCTGGATCAGGCCCCCTGCCGATTAGGGGGGGCAAGAGGCACGGAGTCAACACACAGACACTGGGAGTTGGGTAGAAGCAAGCCCTAGGCGAGGTGCTGCAGGCTCATTTAATGCAGGAGGGGGCAGGCCTTATATTTCCCTTTTCTCCACCCCCAGGTTCCTTTAGTCAGCGTGTCATTTTCTGATTGGTCCACACCATGCAGTCTGTCAGCGGTCACTGGGCTCGCTAGCAGGGTACGGAGGTGTGGGCTCCTTTTGGCGGGCTATTTGCAGACCAAGAAGTGAAGTGAATTCTCGTTAACCCCAGGGCTCTGGGTCCGCGCTGTCTTTGGAGGCCTCCTACTACAATGTATCTCAGGCTGGCCTGGAACTCCTCCCACTTGTACCTCACTAGTGCTAAGACTACCAGCATGCACCACCACACCCAGATGACAATCCCTAGATGTTTAGAGGTGTATATTTATGCTTCTGATCTTTCTGCTTCTTTATTTTAGAAATGTGTTAGGATCAAATGATGCATACCAACTTGATAAATGAAGTATGCAATAAATTTTAATCTTAACTGTCACAAATGATGACAGTGAATAGAACATATGACAGAGACAAATCAAAACACATGCTGCAAGAGGGAAGGTGATAGAAGAGCCAAACTATAGCCTTGGATTCCTGTGATTGTTTCGTCATTTGCGTTTGCCAGTTTGACCATATTATTAAAACATTTTTGAGCTTTATTTTTCTAATCTATTGAATGCAGAGAACACCATAGATGTCTAGAGTGCTGTGAGGATTAGATATGATGCTGTGTGTTCAGCACTTAGGATTGTGCTTGCCTAATATCTTTTAGAATTCTCCAAATAAGGTAGTGATTTAGGATCAGAGAAGCTGCTTGTGGCAATGACTAACATATACCAGAGAGTACAGAGAGTTATAAGTATTTTGAGACAGGTGGGTAGTTCTGTGGGTCTCAGCAGCACTACAATGTATCATGAGATGTCACATTTAAGTTTATGTTGACACCATTAATTCATTAGGATAATGATCAGTTATGTTGTGTCCTTGATTCAATAGTTCAAGGCTGCATGTAATATTTTCAAAAAAGTTTTCATAAAGCTTATTAGGTTATGCTGGGCATGGTGGTACATGACTTAAATCCCAGCATTCAGGAGGCAGAGGCAGGTGGATCTCTATGAGATGAAGGCCAGCCTGGTGTACATAATGAGTTTCAGGCCATCTGGGCTACAGGGAGCCCATGTCTCAACAACAGTAACAACAAAACAAAACAAAACAAAACAAAAACATCACCAAAAAACCCAGAACAAAACAACAACAGAAAACCCCAAACCAGAAACAAATCATTAGGCTAAAGGGTTGAATAAAGTTTACTTATTTGGAAAGTCAACTTCATATGAACTAATCTCATTCCTCAGAAGTGCTAAGTAAATGGAAGTATGCAAAATAAATTTGGTTAGTATCTTAAATCTAGCCTCTAAGATAATACAAAGCATTTATTTTCTGAGTACATATTCAAGCCATTAAAAAATATTATAGTGTTTTATGTCAATTTGTCTTCAAAGTTAGGACCAAAGTTAATTTGATCTAGATGTATTTGAAAAAGAACTGTATCTACACTGATGCTCATTTGGTTTTTATTTTCATTATTTCAGGTTGAAGTGGCACACAATTGCCAAGAGAAGAGAAATTCTGATCAACCCTGCAGTTTGGACAATGACAATAGTTTGGAGATTTTAAAGAAGTATACATTCTCTATTAACATAAATTTACAAGCATATCTCCCCGTAGGAGGCACTGGTTCAGTGTTCAAGGTTCCTGTGCTTAGAATTTTCAGTCTTCACAGTAGGGTTCTTGTGGTGTGTTAAAAGAGTGCTAGTGAGGACTCATTGGTCTTGGGTTTAAGACTGACCAGCTGTGGTCTGTTTTATGAGACTCAAGGAGAATTAAATATACCTTTTCAGGATTTTTCTTTTGCGGTACTGAGGATTGCAAGGCAAGTGCTTTGTCACTAAGCCATATTCCAGCACCCTTTTAGGATTTTTTTCTCTTTCATTCCAGATTGATATTTTTTGTATGTTTGTTTTTCCCAGTTTTATTGAAATATAATTGGAAAACAATATTGTAAATGTATGATGTGATTCTCTTATATAATAGTAGAAGGTGAGTGCCATAATCAAGTTAGTTAATACATCACCTGACTTACCTTTTTGTGATAAATACATTTAAATGTGCAAGATCTAATTTTAAGCAAAATTTCAGTATGTAAGACAGTATTATTAATGATTGGAACTATGTTGGATTCTCAGATAAAAATGAATGTTTGTTCCCTTGGGCCGTACCACCTTTCCATTTTATTTTATTTTATATGTTATTATTGTTTGTTGGCCAATAGCCATTTAAAAAAATATTTATTATCCATGTATCTAAGTCATGCAGTGCCCACAGAGATTAGAAGAGGGTGTTGGATCCATTGGAACTGGAGTTATGGATGGTTGTTAGCTGCCTTGTGCTGGGAACAAAACCCAGGTCCTCTATAGGAGCAGCCAGTGCTCTTAATTGCCGAGTCATGTTCTACCTCCTATTTTTCCATTTTAAAAGAAATGAAAATTAATGAAATCATTTGTCAAAAACTATAAAGGAGTATTAGTTCCTATTTCATATATATTAGCAATGATCATTGCTTTGCTTGCTTTTATATTATATTAATATTCTAGACTTCAGACTATTTTCCTTTAAATTTCATGTCACAGAGTTACATATAGCCAGTAGTTTGCATCAAATTGCATAAAGATACAGATGTATGAAAAGAAAGAGAGAAAGAAAGAAATAGACAAAGGTAGATGTTATGTAGGTTACTTATATTAGAGAGGAAAATGAATTTGAGATATGTCAGAAATCAAATAGAAAGAAAATGTATTTTATTTTCCAGAGACTGTAGACAAACTTGCTGCAAAAATTTATGTATTATCCCTGATGGGAAGATGAGTATAATGAACTTACCACATATCTTAGAAAAATTACAAAATTACGAGGAACTGGGAAATATGGTGTTCAAAATACTAGCATCTTTTTTTTTTTTTTTTTTTAAAAAAGCAGATGCTAACGCTCAAAAACCTTAGCAGTTCAAATTAAAAAAAATTTTGACCTTCAGGAATAGATTTTGTAAGGTTTTAGTAAATTTATTGTTAATCTAAGTAAATTGGAAATCATTTTAAGTTAATACATTGACCTCGCTCATCTATTCCTTTCAAATTTATTTAAAAGAATCTTAGAGGTGGGTACGTAGTCTGACAACCATAAAATGAGCATCATATTTTAATACTAAAACAAAAACCTTGGGTAGCTCCAGTCCATTAACTATTTTTACTTTAGATAATTTCTAATAATAACTGGAGCATTTTCATATGGTACTCAAGTAGGACATTAACTGACAAATATGAACTTTTAATTTTAGACACGTTCTAAATGAGCTGATACAGACGGAGAGGGCATATGTTCAAGAGCTGTTTAGTGTTTTGTTGGTAAGTGCAGCAAACTGTATTTTTCCTGTTTTCTTGAATGGTCCCTGGCTACCTTCACTAGAAAGTGTTGTAAGCATTTTCTATTTCTGTCTCTGCCCTTGGTTGTCCCATGGCAGCAGTGCATATTTCCTATTGTTTGAGGCTACATGTATAAGCATGTGGATTTACATCCTCTCTTAGTAGTGGGAAACTTTGATTTAAAATTTATTACAGACAAGAGATGTTCTCTCAGGGATACAGTGGATAGTTATAATTATTCCCAGGCTGCTAAATAGAGGTTGAGATGAAAAGACCTGAGAATGGGATAAAAATACTTATTCGACACAAATGCCATGATATTAGTTTGATCTGAAAAATAATCTAAGCAATTACTTTCAGTTTAAGAAAAAGTTGGTATTCTGTACTCTAACTTTTTCCTAGTTGGTGTCTGTTTGGTTCCCAACACTGCAATAAAAACCTTGAAGGCCGATGTACTACCTGTTTATTCTACCCATTGAGTGGAAGACCTTGGCTTCCTTATCCTGCCTTCTAAAGTAGTGTCATAGACAACTTTGCCAACCAGGTGACAAATGTTAAAATTCAAACAGCTGCACCTACAAATCCCCTATATATTCTGCTATACCTATACTTTTGGTGATCCAACCAAATATTAATGTACACATTTAAACTACAGACATCTATTTGTTTTCAATAGGGCTACAGAGCCGAGATGGATAATCCACAGATGTTTGATCTTATGCCACCTCTCCTGAGAAATAAAAAGGATGTTCTCTTTGGAAATATGGAGGAAATATATGAATTCCACAATAAGTATGTAATTGGCAAACTGAATTTTTGATGACTTTTAAATAAAAAAGAGCTATTGACTAGTTTATTGTATGTCACATAAATATTTTTTCTCTGATAATTTCACAGCATTTTCATGAGCAGCCTGGAAAATTGCTCTAATGCTCCAGAAAGAGTGGGACCTTGTTTCCTGCAAAGGGTTAGTTTATTTGATTTTTTAGTTGCATAAATATTGGTAACCCAAATAGTATCTCTTGTATAAAGTAGATTTGGAGATAAGATACTTTTTTTCTTTAATGTCTGTATTTTTGGAGAAAGCACACCAATCCCAGCACTTATTGTACAGCTAAGTTTTGGTGGAAACAATATGAGGGTATGGTTCAGTTCTTTGGCATCAAATGCTTCAGTGGCTCAGGTTTTAAGAATGGTAATCTTGGAAATGCAGAGGCTTCCCTAGCTCTGAAGATGTGAGAGGTGGGAGCATGCTAGCAAAACTGCTCTGGGCTTGGCAAAATTTAGCCTAAAAGATACTGTTTTATTGCCCCCTAATATATGTAAGTCTTAGTTTAGTCTGGCTTTCAGTCACCAAGGTACTAATAGAGAGAGCCCATTTGTTTTTTATTCAACAATATCAGTCACACCCCAAAAGAATATGCTTAGTACAGTTGACTTCCTTGGTTAATGATTATGTTCTCCACTATTAAATTTTCTCTCAGAATTTTCCTCCTTCTCTCCTCTCTGTCTCCTTGCCTCCTGATCTTTTTTCTTTTTGGGACAGAGTCTTGCTATTGTAGCCTTGACCTTGAACTCACTATCCTTCTGCCTTGGCTTACTGAGTGCTGGGATCACAGGCCTTTGCTGCTAAGCCCCTGGGACTCAGAATAATTTTGCTTATCTTTCCCTGCTTATCTAGTTCATCCTCTTCCTGAAAGATTAATACTGTCTTGATGTGGGAGTCAACTGGATAGAACAGATTGTTCAAAACTTCAGAATAGCTGTCTTATCTCAGAAAATGTTGAAGGGAATAAAGCTGAGAAAAATGACAAATGAGACGAGAAGGCTAAGAAAGAAACAAATGTATGCCATTACATTTGTCAACATATTCCAATATTTAACACATCCAAACTATGGATAAATTCATTTCCAATATTTCAAGCAGGTCCAACATTCCTTTGGAGTCTGGTTCATTTTAAAAAATACATTTTGACCATTTAGGTAGAAAAAAGATTGCTCGGTGGTTAAGAGAACTGGCCGCTCCGCAGAGGACCCAGGTGGATTCCCAGCATTCGCATGGCAGCTCACAACCAACCTTAACTCCAATTTCAGGAAATCCGATGCCCTCTTCTGATCTCTGTGGGTGTTGCATGGCACAGGCACACTTACATACATGCAGGCAATATATTCATACACATAAAATAACAAAACAGACCTTAACACGAATGACAATGTGTAAATTCCACTGGGGGGGTTGCTATGAGAGGGTCCCAGTGGGGATGGGAGTATAAAGATGATTGAGATTGATTGAGATGTCCTGTATGAAATACACAAAAATTCAATAAAAACAAACAAAAGAAAACAATCATTTTATGGGCAGATGAAAAAAATACTAAGGTGGAGAAGCTGGCCATGGTGATGCACAACTTTAGTCCCAGCACTCAGGAGGCAGAGATATAGTATTTTTATTAACTCTGAGTATTTTGATTATATCTCCCCACTGTTCCCCTAGATCCACCCCATCTCCTTCTCTCACCAAACTTCATGCTCTCTCTTTTTTAAAACAACTTATCATGTTCAATTTGTGCAGTCTGTATACTCCTGAGTATGGGTATGGCCATCCATTGGAGTGTGGTCAGTCCAGCAGGGGCCACATCCTTCAAGACAATGGTGAAGCCTAATTTTCAACACAATGCTACTCTGCAAGACATGATGGTACATTTCTATAGCCCCAGCACTTAGGGTTGTAGTCCGGAAGATTATGAGTCTCGGGCCATCCTATTCCACCTAGTGAGACCCTCCTCTTAAAAAAAGACTATGCTACTTACCAGAGATTTTATATTTACCATGTGTCTTTATATGTATATATAAATCCTTCTCCAACTTGAGCAGTTCTTTGAGGTAAGATTCATTCCTATATAGCTTTGCATCTGTCAAGGTTGGCTGAATTCTTTTCAACTAGTAGCTTGATAAATGTTTGTTTATGATATGTTTATTCAGTAGCCATTTACTAAAATATCTGTTGTCTACCAAGCAATGTGCTGGGCAATGTGGATACCAAGCTAAAGACCATGTAGATTAAAAAAAGATAAACTGTATATAGTACACAGGATAAGTTTACATCCCATTTAGAGATACGCGAAGGTTCCTATGGGAGCTCAAAAGAAGGGCATCATCTATAGCCTGAGGGTACAAATAGTGGTTGTGTAGAAGAGATGAATGTTAAAGTATGATTAGGGGATAGACCAGTAGATCGAGGTTAGGGGACGATGATTCCAGGGAGAGCAAATTGTACAAGCAGATGCCTCTGTGTGTTACGCTGAAGTGATGAAGTCCCAGCGATGAACTGCAGACTACAGATTCTAATGTGGAAGTTAGCTTGAAAGTTCCTTCACTTCGACAGCTGAGAGAGTAGGCACAGAAAGAATGTTTCTTGAAACCTATTAGAACATGGTAAAGGAAAAATAGTTTGAACAGTTCAGACAGCGAAGGCTTTTCTCCCTTTAACTCTTAAACGTGGTAAATTCTGAAATTGCTTACGTATTCTGCTGCCTGGTCCAATGGGCATGCTGTCAATAGAACATTTTATGACACATTTCCTACAATGGTTGGCTATATACTCTCTTGCTTGTCCTTTCTTGATAATAAAAGGTTGTATTTATATGTTAGTAATACTCTTGAATTTGCTCTTTATTACAGAAGGATGATTTTCAGATGTATGCAAAGTATTGTCAAAATAAGCCCCAGTCAGAGATAATTTGGAGGAAATATTCAGAATGTGCCTTTTTCCGGGTATAGTATTAAATTATTGGACGTATTCATTATGGAACCTATTGGGATATTTCTTATGAATAGCGTTTATGCTTTGAGTAATTGATATATATGTATAAGTTAAAATGCAATTCTGCCCTCTCCAAAGCATACACATAAACACATATGCATATAAGGAAATATATATTTGCTGTTCCCCAGAGAATACCACTTTTACATACTACTTTTGGTATTTGCCTCTGTATCTCCAAATAACATGCTTATCTTTCTCTTTCTTACTATAGCAGGTGAAGATTTAGCTTTCTTTCAGTGTCCTGCCCTATAACCACATACATATGAAGTTTTTAATCTGTCCAGTGATTCCAATATGTTTTTGTTAGATTGATAGGTTATATTTAATGAAATTATTAAGACTATAATTTCTCAACTTAAGTGAATCGTATAGTAAAATGTGCTTATAAATTTCTTTTTACTCATTTAATTTTTATATATGTTGCCTAACTCTTACACCAACCTCTCTCAAGTTTAGAAATTATAAAATATTGTTCTCATTATATTTGTATTTGTTGATCGTCTTTCAATTTTGTCCTAAAGAAATCTCTTGTAGAGTTTTCTGACCTATTTGTAGTTTTTCTCTCAGGATCCTGGTGAATAAGAATTTGGGACTCCCTCTCACTGCTCTATTGAATAGACTCTCCCACCTGCTATGTGTCATGTCCTTGTTCTTCTTTTATTTCCCTCTGGTAGAAGAAATGTTCTAATAGTTTGTGGAGAAAGTGTGTATGATGCTAGGTAGAAGGTTTTGAGAGTTTGTGGGAGCAAATGTCTTTATTGTATCCTCATATTTTGATTGTTAACATGGTTAGGTATAGAATTCTAGTTAATAATTATCCTAAGTATTTAAAGATATGGCTTCAATGTTTTCTAACTTCTAGTGTTGGGGTTCAGAAATATGATGCCAGTGTCTTCCTTCATGAGAGACCAAGTTTTTATCCTCTGAAAGATTGAGAACTTGTTTATTGATACTATTTTCATTCATTATCTTAGTATTTTGGTGATCACTTCTTTTATGTGGCACTGAGCATGCAACCCAGGGTTTTCTGTATACTAGGTAAGCATTTTAACACTGAGCTATGCTCCAATCCTTGATGATTACTGTGAGATTGGAAACTCTAGTCCAAATTGACTATCTTTTTTCCCCTTTGATTTTTCTTTCACCAAATTTCCTTCATTTTTATTTTTCTGGAATTTCTGTTGTACAGATGTTGCAGTTCTCAACTGGCCACCTAATCTTATGTTTCTATGTTTTCTAAGCTTTTTGTCTTCCTGGGAATCATCTTCTACTCCTTCTAATTGAGGGTTTTGCTTCTGCCATTATGTTTTTAAAATATTTTATTTATTTATTATTTATTTTTTTTATTTTTTTTTTATGAGTATGAGTGTATTGCCTGCATGTATGTAAGTATACCTGTGTCGTTCAATGCCCGTGGAGGTCAGAAGAGGGCGTTGGATCCACTGGAACTGGAATTATGGAAAGTTGTTAGCTGTGGGTGCTGATACTAGATCCCAGGTTCTTTGCAAGAGCAGCCAGTGCTCTTAACCTCGGAGCCATCTTTCCTGCCCCAATGTTTTAAATTAAAAGAAATTATTAATATATGTTCATTTTCTAAAATAATGGAATTCATAATCACATACGCATGTAAACATATCATGTACTTGGAACATATTCACATCTCATTACACTCTTTCATTCTCCTCCCCATCTCACTAGTCCTTTTCCTTTTCCCAAGTAGTCCTCTTTAGTCATATGTACATTATCTCATCTGTCTGTCCGTCTGTCTGTCTGCCTGTCTCTCTCTCTCTCTCTGTTCTCTTGGTTTCAAGATTAGTGAAAACATGATATATGTCCTTTGGAGTCTGACTTATTTTGTTTATTATGATGACTCCAGCTCCATCCTTTCCCCTGCAAATAACATAATTTAATTCTTCTTTAAAACTCCATTGTACACCACATTTTCTTTATCCATTCTTCTGTTGAAGGGAATCTAGGATGGTTGCATATCTTGGCTACTATGAACAGTGCTGCAAGCATAGGTGTGCAAGTATGTCTCTGGTATGTTGATTTAGAGTCCTTTGGGTATATGTCCAGGAGTGTATAACTGGGCAATATTATAGCTCTATTTTTAGGATTTTTTTGATGTATGTGCCTGTGTGTATGTGTGTGTTCATGTGTGTGCAGGTACGTGTGTGTGTAGTTATACATATGTGTTTCTGCTTGTGTGTGTATGTGTGTATGTTCAGGTCAGAGGTCAACCTCAACTGCCATCCATTTATTAAAAGCTTATATATTTATTTTTATTTATATGTATCTTCATGATTTTATCTATATCACATGTGTTCAGGTGCCCTTGGAAGCCAGAGGGTGTTGCATCCCTGGAATTGGAGTTATAGCCAGTCATAAGATACGTAATGGGCATGCTGGGAACAGAGCTTAGTTTCTGTGCAAGAGCAGTACACACTCTTAAGTGCTGAGCTATCACTCTGGCCCCCTTTTTTTTGGAGGGTGAGGAAGTATGTCTCTTTGACTTGGAACAAACCAAGCAAGCTAGGTTCACTGGCCAGCAGGCCCCAGAGACCTGCCTGTCTCCTTTTCCATAGTCCTAGGATTAGAAGTGCATGCATATCACCATGCACAGTTTTTTGGTTTTGTGTGTGTGTGTGGGGGGGGGGTTCTGGCTGATCTAACTTAGATCTTCATCCTTGCAAGGCAATCACTTACCAATTGAACTACCACCGTAACCTTGTTTTTGTTTCGTTTTGTTTTTTGAAGCGTCCATAATGATTTCCATAGAGGCCATGCCACTTAACAATTTTTTGTTCTCTCCCAATTACTTTTTATGAAATCCTGATTTTGTTTCAAAAACTATTTTCATTTATCTATATAGAGTTATTAATAGATTTTCCTTTGAGAGTAGTTTTCTTCTGTCTGCATAGTTCCAGTTGCATTCAAATTGCTGTTCTCTTCATTTTCTTCATTGGTGCCTGTCACTCATCTTGGATGCTTTCCTGAAATGTCTGATAATTACCTGTTCGATTACATTAAGAACAAGCACATGGGATCTCATTACAAATTTCTTGTGCATCTCTGGATTGATTGAGAATAATCCTCATTGTTGGCTTATTTGTCTGCAGTTGTTTCCTTTGGTGCGGTGCTTATGCTACCTTAATACATATATATTTAGTCCATATAATTCAGCTGCTTAGATCCCCCTTCCCCCAGATTGCTACTTGATATAAAAATATTTGACTTTGGGGGCTGGAGAGATAATGCATGGGTTCAGTACATGTACTGCTCTTTCAGAGGTCCTGAGTAAAGTTCCCAGCAGCTGCCTTGTGTGGCTTGCAATCGCCTGTATCTCCAGCTCCAGAAGACATGCCTCATTGGGCACCCATATGCACAAGGGCATACTAATACACACATACACATGAACATACGAATGCACACACACACACACACACACATGTAAATAAAAAAATCTTTTAAAAAGTTGACTGCCAGTGCTGTGGTAGCTAGGTTTGGGGAAATGAATGTGAGTGTCTAGGTTGGTAGACGGATACCCAGCTCTGCTGCTTTCAGTATAGTCATCTGTTCTCTGTTGGAATATATATTCCTTCGTCTGTTTTATTCTTCACAGAGAAACAATTGTTCTTCTCAGATGTATAGAGAAATGTGATTGTCTCAGCCTTTTTAATTTTAATTTTAAATTTTCATATTCATTCAATTTTGGTTTTGGTCATAACCATGAAGATACTACAAAATTCACCTTTTAAAACCCCACAATTCAGTAGTTTAACTATATTCATAAAGTTGTACAATTGTCAATGCAATCAATTTACGTGCATTTTTACTGTTAAAAAAACCCATCCTGAGGTCAGTCATGGTGGCATACACTGGTTGTTTTAGTCCTGAGGAGACTGAGTAAGAAGGATGATGTGTTTGTGTTGTCCATGGGCTATATATAGTGAGGCTGTCTTTGAAGTTAAATTAACAATTGCCAACGAACCAAAAAAACAAAAATTCCATGCCCACACCACCCTGTATCTTTTAGTAGTTACCCCTTTAAAAAATTATTTATCTTTATTTTACATGTACGAATGTTTTGCTTGCATGTATATAAGTGCACCACGTGCATGCACTGTCCATGGAGGCCAGAAGAGGGCATCAGATCCCCTGGAACTGGAATTACTGATGGTTTTGAGCTGTCATGTGGGTGCTGGGAACTGAACTCAGGCCCTCTGTGAGAACATTAAGTATTCTTACCTACTGAGCCATCTCTCCATCCTTGGAGTCACCTCTTATTCACCTGCCTCCCTTCCCCCCTACCTCAATCCATTCAACTCTAGGTAACCATTAATCTGATTTCTGTTTCTATAGATTTGCCTATTCTGAACATTTTCATATAAACAGACATATATGGAATTTTAGGAGGCTTCTTTTACTTCACGCAATATTTTTAGCTTCATGCTGTGGCATGTAACAATACTTTATTAATTTTCTGTTTAGATAATGTTTCCTTGAGTCATTTTTATATTTGATTCACACAATCATTAGTTAATGGGCATTTTACTTATTCCTACCTTTTGTTTAGCATGGGTAATGATGCTATCAACATTTTTCTGTGAAAATTTTTATTTAGAGATCCATATTTATTTCTCTTGACAATATACAACACTGTCTGAAGTTTTCCATTCCCACTAACAGTGTGTAAGGATTCTGATTGTTCCACATCCTCACCAACACTTATTATTACCTTAATCATTTCATACACTTTGAAAATTTTGAACTTCACCCTTCCCTCTTTCAGAGGTACTGGGTAGCTCTAATTCCTGAGTCTCAGAGAAGAGTACAGAGGATTTTATAACTAAAAAACTCAGCTGTTCTTGACTTTTTCGTCTTTCAACTGAGATGAGTATGTTTAATTAGATAGACATCCTGTGAGTTTGACTTGTCATTTCTAAATTTTACCAGTATTCTCTGGTTTCTTACATCCAGTGAAAGGCCCTGTATCTTATTTGGGTATATCCTCTTATTCTCTTTATGTCATCCACTTTGCACATGCACAGTTCATCCTAACCACCCCCTTCTTCCCCTAACTATGGTTCCTACACTGCTCCCAGGACCCAGTGTCATGACCCTTATATTTGTAGTGATCTTAAAAAAAAAAAACACTATTCTGATACCCAGTCTGATTTGTATTTAGCACAACCTATTTCTTTTCTGGGCCTTTGCCTATGGAGCCGAGTCCTTTGTTAATTTTCTTAGATAGACTGAAGAACTTTTTAATCATCTTAACATACTGCTATATCTTGCTTTCTTAACTTTTAAGCAGTCTATGGTAATGTTAATTTACCTAAGAAAACTTCTAATCTTTAAAATGCTATAACTTTCTAACTTCCAAATTTTTGAAATATCATTCACCATAGTTCTTCAAATGTCATTATGTCTAATAACTTGTGTGCTAATGCAACAGTGATTTTTCTGATACATGTTCCTTAACATGCAATACAGATTTCATGCCTGGGGTCTAATCAGTGAGCACTTGTCACTTGGTATTTTTTACAAGTACATGTCTTAAACATTTTTTTTATTCTTAAAAATGACCTTACAAAGTAATGTTTCCATATGGAGTTTTCATACGTATTTCAATTGATCCCTGTGCGCCCCCTCTACGTCTTAATTTAACAGTTATTGATCATTATTTTTTTTAAAATAATTTATTGAGAATTCCATACAGGCATATAAGCATTGATCATTATTTTTTAATCACAGGAATGTCAAAGAAAATTAAATCACAGACTTGGTCTGGATTCCTATTTACTCAAGCCAGTGCAACGAATCACTAAATATCAGTTACTTTTAAAGGTAATTACGCTAAATGTTTGCTTCTGTACCTACCTTTTTGGATCAGATATGGTAGTCATTAAAAAAGAGTGGTTACTCTGAAGCCCTAGCAATGGGCTGAAAGAGAGGGATGACTGGATTTAGCTGTAAGATTTTTGCAGCATGCTCTTCCACGGTGGTTGTGTAGAGGACATAAGCAACGTGATCACGCTGAGAGTATCTGGACTGGTAGCTCTCAATTCTCCATACAAGTTCTATCTATTCATACATGATGTTTTAGGAAAGAACTTTTTATCTTGTTAAGAAGATTTAACCAAATATTTCTTAGTTCATGATTGTTTTTCCTACTTGCTTTCTGAATGAAAAATGTAAATGGCACTCCCCTAGTGTAATGTGAAAAGACGAATAAAATCTGTGTTAAGTATAAATATAACATAGCTTTCTTTAAAATGTACATTTCACAATGTTTCATGCATCATGAATAATTTTTATATGTAGAGGAGAAAAAAAAAACTCCTGTGTACTTGCTTCAAAAACTAATCTCTGATGTGTGTTCTTAGCTATTGTTCTTCAGTTCAAAAAGCACTGAGTGCCCTCTGCTTTATACTGTTCGGTCACTGTTTTACTTCTTCCTCAATTTTGACATTGTTATTAAATATAATGTTAATGTGACAAAGAGACTATAAAAGAATTTATTCTTAAAAGTGACACTGTCTTTGGATTCCTGCTCAATAGCATGTTCACCAAAAATGTGTTCATTTTCTCCAGCAATTTTAATATGTGACTAATAATTAAGTTTAATTCTTGACTTCTGATTACAGGAGCTATTAAAATATAGCAAAGACTGTGAAGGATCTACCCAGTTAAAGGAGGCACTTGACACAATGCTGGAACTACTGAAATCAGTTAATGACTCCATGCATCAGATTGCAATCAATGGCTATGTTGTAAGTAAATTTTAGTAATTGTTGGAATTTTAGCAATCCTTTTCTTATCTCTTGAAATCAATTGGGACATAACACAGAAGAGGCATACAAATGAAGATCAAAAATATAAGCGTTATTACTGATAACACTAAGTGGAGAATTGGCTTCAGATCAGCAGTCCAATAGATTTTTGTGACATTCTTCTTGTCTGCAGAAGCCTGACTCCAGGTCTGGACCCAGGGAGATTTTTCTTGAAGGAATGCTTGGGTCAGCTAAGCAGACATACTGTCTCAGAATTGTGACTTGCCCTAGTTTAGAGTAGATATGAAGGAAAAGGGTCAAATCTTAAAATTTGCAGCCTTTTCCCCAGATCAGCTCCATCCAGAGGGAAAACTTGGGCTGGTATATATCATATACCAATCAGGAATGAGTGAAAGATAGGAGAGTTGTTCTAGCTGAAATAACCCCACATGGAAGGTTCTCTGATGCCAAAGAAAAGGACGTTTCTTTTATGCTGCATCCTCACAGCAATGTGTGTGTGTGTGTGTGTGTGTGTGTGTGTGTGTGAGAGAGAGAGAGAGAGAGAGAGAGAGAGAGAGAGAGAGGTTCTAGCATAGAAAATGACAATGTAATTTAAAAACCATGCAGATTGTGCTTCAGACTTTAATAGGTCGAGCTAAACACTATTTGATATCTGAGATGTGAATGCAGCTCTGCCTTGTACTCATGGGTTTTGATTTTTCATTCTAGGGAAACTTAAATGAGCTGGGCAAGATGATTATTCAAGGCGGATTCAGTGTTTGGATAGGACACCGGAAAGGTGCTACAAAAATGAAGGATTTTGCTAGATTCAAAGCGATGCAGAGACACCTTTTCTTGTATGAAAAAGCTGTTGTGTTTTGTAAGAGACGTGTTGAATCTGGAGAAGGTGCTGATAGATACCCATCATATAGTTTTAAGCACTGTTTGAAAGTAAGAAAATTTAAATTGTGTGATATATATATATTTCTTTTCATTTAAAAAATTTAAATTGAATTTTTGTGAATTATATACAATATATTTTGATCATCTTATTACTCCCTCCCCTATCTGTAGCCCTCTTATAGTCCCCTTGCTGGAGTTCATGTAATCTGTCATATATGTTAAGGCCCATTGAGCCAAGTTTCTGTCCCCACATGTCCTTTGGTGTGTGTCCATCCACTTGAGCCTGCTTAACATACCTAGTGTCACATGCTTAAAGAAAAACAACTCTTCTTCTCCCAGTAGTTATCACTTGCCAATCATTCCTCAGCTAAGGTCGGGCTTCTTACCTACATCATCACTCCATTCTGGGATTTTTGTCTGGCTTGAGTTTTCGTGGGTCTTGGGCATACTGTTACTGTTGCTGTAGGGACACATGACTAACTTCCCAGCTGTCTGGAAAACTCAATTTCCTTGTGGTCATCAACTGCCTCGGGTTCTTTACAATCTTTCTGCTGCCTCCTCCCTGAGCCTTAGGTGGCAGAGGTTTGATATAGGCGTCCTATCCAGGGTTAAGTTCTTTGTAGCCTCTTATTCTCTGAAGTTTAGCCAATTGTGGCTTTCTGTGTTAACCACCATCTGTTGCATGAGGAAACTTCGCTGGTGAGAGTTGCAGGATGCATTAAAATTCTTTCTTCCCCCTGTTCCACTATGTTCCCTGAGCTATAGGTGTATGGGTTGCACTGTAGATGCATCACTTAGGGCTGGGCACCTCACGGACACCTATTCTCTGTGTTTGACCAGTTGTGAAACTTTGTAATAGTTTCCATCTGCTGCAAAATGAAGTTTTTTTTCATTAGTGGTAAGAGGTACACTTGTCTGTAAATACAAGGACATATTTTTAGAATACAGTAAGAAATTATGTTGGTCTGGGGGTGTGGCAAGAGTAAATTTTTCTCTAGGATCTATGACCTTTCCAGTCATGTGTATTTGGCTATATTTACAATACCACACACAAGCATTTTATATGTATTCCATTTTGCATACATTTTTTGGATCAAATGAGTAGGTTTTAAACTTTACCTGCACATTCCTTTATTTAAAAGAAATATTTTTTCTTTTAATCTGTGTGTATTTGTGTGTGCCAATATATGTACATTGAAGCATACATGTGGAGGTCAGAAGAAACCTCACATATTTTTTTTTCTTCCACCTCATTTGATGCCAGGTGTTCTATTGCACACCTGTCTAGTTGGCCTGTAAACTTCCAGGGATTCTGTCTCCATCTTCCACATTATTGTAGGAACATTGGGATGACAAACACTCTATTCACATTTCAGATCACCAGTGGGTACTGGTGATCTGAAATCAGGTTCTCACACTTGCTGGGCAAGTGCTTTACCCACTGAGCGAACTCCTCAGGCCTCCCTCATGTTTTTTTTTTTTTTTTTTTTTTTTTTTGAGACAGGGTCTCACTATATACCTGTGACTGGCTCTGGAATTCAATATGTAGACGAGGCTGGCCTTGTAATTTCAGTGATCCTCCAGCCTTCGCCTCCCAAGTGGTGGGATTACAAGCATGCACCATGACTAGTTTAAAAGAAACCATAACTAGAAGTCTTATCTAGAAGTCAGGTAAAGCAGAAATTCTCTTTAGGACAAGGTATTGGGGCGAGAGCAGAGCTTTGGTTCTTCAGCTTCCCTTTCAGTGCAATCTCAACATTCTCCAAGGTGCCCACTAGTCCCCTGCAGAGCATAGCTGGAAATAGCAAAGAACTGGCCCTCACTCCTCCATGAACATTCTTCCCAGTGCTATACAGCGGTCTTGGTCTCCTTTGCAGGGGGCATTTTTGTGACAGGAGAGACACACTCTTTCTTGCTCACAAGAGGCTATAATTATTAAATTTGGTTGTTTCACATCAAATGAATTTTATCATTCAAGTTTAAATTCTAAAATCAATACAACTTTTATTAATGAATAATTTGAAAAATTCTTACCTTCAATTATCCAAATAGTATCATTTTAGTCGTTTTTCTTAGTAGTCATTTTTCATGAGTCTTTTCTTTCCTATTTGGTTTTACCAGAATATTTGAGAACTGATGACATTTTACTAGCTCTTTTACTGATAAGTCTGTGATGGGCCTGAAGTGTTTGGGTAAGGTGGGCTACCTGATAAGCAGATCCTGCTTTTCATTTTCCCCATAGGGCCAGCTGCCCCTAGCTGTATCCAGCAAACTCTCTGCCCTGAGTCCCGAGTTACCGCCCAAGCTCTTCCCATTGTTTATTTTCTGTTCTTCACTTCTCTATCCACAGTAGCTCCATAGATTGTTTAAAACTCCAACCGTGTTCATCATAAATCCTCAGTTGTTCTTTTATGACTCATACACTCTCTCTCACTTCAAGTCTCCATATCTTTAAGGGTTGTTTATGACTTTAACAAATATTGACAGAGAACCAAGAAGTTGTAATGTATTTTAGCCAGGTTTCAGCTCTTGTCATCTACATGCTTATTCCTTATGAAGGTACTTCAACTTTGTTAAGCATGTTTGACACAAATTATTTTGATTTATGTTCTGTTTGTGGGATGACCTAGTCATCACTCAAAGCAGAATTTCTGATTTCTGTTAATTTTCTATGTTACTTTGAAATAGATAGAATAATGGCCATACCAGTATTGTTTCTCAAGTTCCTTAAAGAAGGACTAATGACATAACGAAGTCAGAAAGATGACAATAGTTACCATGGAAACAGAGGGTGAAATTGGTGCTGGAAATCATTCAGTTGAAAGTACACATAATGACTTAGTGACTTGCCTGATACAGAAAACTTGACATTTAAGGAAAGAAAATCTGTCTGTTTTTTCTTTGGTTCTCTGGTACAATAGTATCCTTAATCGAAAAAACTAGTCAGTGATGCTGGCAAGGTTTTAGATATAGTTTCCTGGGAAATGGTGATGTTGTAGACTAAGAAAATGGAAATTCAAGCATTTCTTAGGCTTCGCTGTGCTTGCTCCATCTTGTTTACCTGTCATGAGATTTCATCATTACTGGTCAGTGAGCTACTAAGCAAATCACGATTACGGATTTCAGACTTACCTGTACTGGACTTCACTCAGCTCAAAAAATGAATTCTTGCCTTGACTGTATCATATCAAGCTGGGATTACACAGCCTGATCATGTCTTTCTATTGACTTTGTGCTGTATTTTAATTCACCACGTACATGCAAAGAAAACCCTGTGGGTCACAGAGAATCAGATAAAGATTTGACTTCTTCAGAGCCCTCAGGCCATGCTTATTATTAATCACCTATTGTTTTACTTTAACATATATGCACATAGTACTAAATACATGTCAGATAATAGTGGTTTGATTTTACAGGGCAACTAAAAATATACTTAGTAAATAATGATGTGCTATATTTTATCAGTAGAAAATAGCAAAAATTGTTGCAGTTCAAATAAGGGAAAGAATAGGAAGCAAAGCCAAATGTTAAAAATTCATTATGAAAATAAATAAATTAACTAAAATACCTTTTCCCCTATTTGAAAAAACCTTATTATGGGCAGGGAGGTGGCTCAGTGGATAAGGTGTTTGCCATTAAAGTGTAAGATTGGGTTTCAGATCCCCAGGAGTCATGTAAAATTCTGGGTAAGCAATTGTACTAGTGAGGCAAACTCTGGCTTCAGCAAGAGACCCTGCCTCAGTAAATGAAGTAGAAAGCTTGGGGAAGACATCTGACATCAACTTCTGGACTCCATAAGCACACATTTGCACATACACCTACATACACATGCAAACACACACACACACATTACTCCCACAAACCACGTTACATGATCTAAGTGTAGTATTTAATACATCCTTACAACAAGTCTATAAAGTAGATGTTTCTCCCATTATATGGTTGAAGAAATGAATTTTGAGAAAAATTGACCAGTTTCCATTAGGACGCATAGCTGATGAATGATAGAGATTGAATGGAGGTCTCTCCTGGCCTTATCTGACTCTGAAGTCTGTGTGTCTGCTAGCTGTCATCCTACCAAGACAAAGCCATGTGATTTTAAGATATTCTTCTTTAAAACAATTGAATATAAGTATTACTTCATGTCTAACTATTTTAGCAGAGGTAGATTAGAACGATGTATGGAGAATATATTTAGGAGTCTTCTGATAGTATCTTTTGACTATATTCAAGGTAGATGTCACAGACTCTTTAATTAACATGGCTGAGTTTCATTTCTAAACTATTGCTTTCCTTTTCCTTAATGTAGGAATCTCCCAAGCTCTACTGTTAATGCTTAGCAGTTTTAATTAGGGTCATTTGGTGTGTGTGGGGGGAATCCATAAGGGGAACAGAATGTGATAGTCCTTCAGATAATTAGGTAGGAATTGAGAGAAAATAGGAAATGCAGAAAAGAACTTAAATGTGCACACAAGGGAATGAAATTATCCCAAATGGAATTAGCCAAGGTATTCACAGAAAATGACGAAAGAAAATTGTTCAAAGTACAAACATGGGTGAGAAGAAAGCTGTGGTAAGGAAGCAATATTGTGTACTACTGGCTGTGAGAAGGATACCTCTGTTTCAAAATGACTGTTCTGTTCTGCTGCCAGTAGTAGCTGAGGGGGCTAGTGAGAATAGAGAAACCTTGGCATACATGACTGGTTCTTCCCTGTCTAATAAATTTGCAAGTTATACCTTATAGTAATTCTATAGAGATATGTAATAAATCTGTAAGATTAATTGATATGGCCAGTAATTATTTTTAAAAACATTGAAATTAGTTAATGTCAGGTGGCTTTTCTCACTGATGTTTAATTACTTTTACTTCTGACAAAAATGTGTTTTACTACTATAGAGTTAACTTACAACAGAATTCAGCCTTAGATGGTCTACTTGTATGTTCACCTGTGTAACATTTATATGAAGCATTGGAATGGAACAGTCCAAACAATAAGTATATAGTTCCATTGAAAACAAACACGCCTATGGCTATACTTTGCATTTCATATGCTTTGAACATAAAGTGTGTATTTTGTTCAAGTGAGAAATTCTCTTTCATTTAGAGCATGTTGGGTTGGTATTAATGCAATTTCATATTTTAAATAAGATGCTCAGGAAGAGTTTGACTTCTTTGTTGTAGATGGAAGAAGTTGGAATCACAGAATTCGTAAAAGGTGATAACCGCAAGTTTGAAATATGGTATGGTGAGAAAGAAGAAATTTACATTATACAGGTTGGTTGTTTAAAAATCATTATAGAAATCATAATCAACATTAAGATGTAAAGATTTTATTTTTGTGTTTTTAATTATGTATGCATATGTGTCTGAGTGTGAGTTTATGCAACTGTGGTGTCCATGGAGGCCAGAAGAGGGCAATGGATCTCTGGAACTGGAGTTAGTGGTAGTTGTGAACTGCCTGACATGGGTACTCTGGTCCTCAACAGGAGTGTTACATGTTCTTAACTCCTGCACCATCTTTCTATCCCCAGCATCAAGATTTAAAAATCTCGAGTTGGCAAAAATAATAGTAATAATAATAATAATAAATAGCAATAATAATAATGGTCATATTTCATAAAATTTTGTTCCCTTCATTGCTTGTCAGGCACTTATGTGCCTCCATGAAGTTTCCAGAGTTATAGAACAATAATAATTTTGAGTTTCTTTTGTCCTCCATTCAATGGGTACTTAGTTGTAAGACTTGTAGTTATGGTAGTTCAGATTTGTTCTTCAATTGAAAGAATACAGTTAAGACCATGATCAAGTGTGCTGTAAAGCCCATCCTGTTTCAGGGAAGGGAGGAGAATCAGGGCATTTCCAGGGCATTTCACATATTCCTAAATCACTCTGTCATGGCTTATGACTGATCCATGTGTTATTATCTGCCTACATATTCAGGGGTTTTGCTTGTTTTAATTTTGTCCTGCTAATAATCCATGAAAATGCCTTTTTGGTTTGGTTTTCTATTTTATGCATACAAGTGTATTACCTGCATATGTGTAAATGCATCTGTGTCATGCAATGCCTGTGGAGGTCAGAAGATGGTGTCAGATTTCCCCGGAACTGGAGTTGCAGACGGTTGTTATCTGCCATGTGGATGCTGGGATTCGAACCCAGCTCCCCTGAAGAGCAGCCAGAGCTCTTAACCACTGAGCCAACTCTCCAAACCCATTTTTTTTTGGTGTTTTGAGACAGACTCTCCCTGGCCCTAGCTATCCTGGAACTCACTATGTAGTTCAGGCTGACCTCAATCCTAAAGAGATCTGCCTATCAGATGTATCTTGTAAGCAATGGGAAGATATTTAGGAACGTTTTCATGGCACTATTAGTCGTTAAGATTATTATGCAGTGAATTTTATTTTTGGAAATAATAGAGCTTGCTTTGTTTGACCAAAATTGTACCAAGATATTTATATTTTTCAAAGAATCCTCTTGCAAAGGGAAAGTAATTAAAAGAATCTTCTGCATTTCCTCCAATTATTATTCCATTATCTAAGGCCATTTCAAAATGATTTTGTGTTATCTAATTGAATGGCTAATGGTCAGCTTCTTAGATGGTTTAAGAATCAAAAGTCTAGAATTTGAATCTGTTTGATTATATTTGGTTTATAAAAGCAGTCTTTTCAAAGGAAACCTAGTTTCCCTTTCTTTTTTAATCTTTAGGCACCAAATATCGATGTGAAGATGTTATGGCTGAAAGAAATAAGAAATCTTTTGTTGAAGCAACAGGAACTTGTGACAGGTAAATTCAAGCATAAATGCTCTACATGGAGGAGCACAGTGACACTTTTTTGGCTCAGATTTTAATTGTTTTGCTAGGAATGGGTCTAATACTTTAGTAATAATGAAAGGATTTATTAAACTAGAAAATGAAAGACTGAAATTCACAGTTTAAAAAACTAATTTAGACTATAAGGTGAACCATGATGCCTCACAACCAATTGAGAAACAAGAAACTGTCCTTTGCAGTCCTTTACAAGAGGTGACTGCTTAGGGTCTCACAGAATTAGTGCCTAGTAAGGTTGGGATAGGGAGCTGGTTTCAGTTTTAAAATTGTGTGTGTGTGTGTGTGTGTGTGTGTGTGTGTGCTTGTGTGTGTCAGTATAGGTACTGTGCTTGTGTGGATGTTACAGGACAATCGCCTGCCACCTTGAGGCAGGATCTTTTTTCGACAGCTTGCTGCTGCACATGGCAGGCTAGCTGGCCGTTGAGCTTCCAGGATTCTGTCTGCAGGACCTCCTGCATGTGCAGCAATTGCCTTACCCACGGAGCTGTCTTCACAGCCCTTACTTTTTAAATAAGGTGCTATACAGTTTAGACTTTTCCAGATTCTAGCTTCAGGTTGCTCTTGTTATTGGCAACTTCAAGTCCCTGAAATTTGTGTGTAGATCTCTCTCTCTCTCTCTCTCTCTCTCTCTCTCTCTCTCTCTCTCTGCGTGTGCATGCCTGTGCATGCCTGTGTGCAGGTATGAATGAAAGTCATTGATCTTCAAGTAAGAAATGTGACTTTTGAATGACTTATGTAAGCTTTGTTTTATTTTACAGCTAAAATCCAGAAGCAACAGTTAACAGCACATGGTCAAGGTTCTCTTCAGCAGAACGTTGAGTAAGTGATCATTTCTTTCAGAAATACCACTCTTGCAATCTTCTGTTTGCTATATGTAACTTCGAACAATGTAATTACAATATCTTAACCAACAACCGGCCTTCTGTGCTGGCATGATTCATCAGATTGCATACGTAAATGCATTATTTTTTTCCAGGTCTACTGGAGCTGGATAATTCCTCACATTCTCTATAAATTACAAGACTGATTTTAAAACACAGTTAAAATGGCTTATTCTCAGTGTACCATGGGAAGATTTGCATTCAGGCTGACAGCCAATATTGCATTCATAACTTTCTCTTCAGGGTGGTTTGCTCACCTTCAGCCTGACTGGAGAAACAGTAAGAGAACAGCAGATGAAGGAGTGGCTCCCCACTTTGTAGTCCCTTGTTGGAGACCCCTTGCTGGAGGTTCGGCTTTCTTTGTACATAGATAGGACGTATGAATCCAGGGAAGGAAATGAGCCTGAAGTCCTCAAGGAGGGAGCACTCTGTATAGTAGCACTCTTCTGACGCTTTACGGCTGTGATCTTGGTGCTTTGCCTCTAGAAGTTCTAAAAGGTTCACTTTCCACATCTGAATGTAAATGGAGAGTTCCTACACTAGTTCCAAAGCTCTGGTGCAGAGATTCATCAAGCAGTATCTGCATGGTATAAGGAACCCTGAATGATGTATTACAAATACTGTTTTTTTCCTTTGTCACATATTTCCAAGTGGTTCCTAAAATCAGAGACAGCATGGGGTTTTTAGTTGGGTCTTTAGGAGAACCCAAGTCACTCCAAAGGCCTTTATCTTGCAGGGTTCACACTACTCAGGATTTTAGCAAACATAGATGTAAAGACTTTAGGTTTCATACAGTAGTTGCCCTAATGGTAGCTGGTACAAACTTAACAGTATGAATCAGCTTGAAATTTCATTTATATACATCTTACCTAATGCATTAACATGAAAACTCTTCAGAGCAACATGGATTGTACACATACCTGCCTTCGGTGTAGAAGGGAGCAATTTTATCTTTGCATAAAAAGGAATCTACTGGCTTGGATCCTAGGACCTAAGCTCTTGAAACTTGTGCTTATTATGAACTATTATCATACAGACTTAAACAGGGGTCTATCAGCTGTTGGAGTGGATTCTCAGCTTATTCTTAACACATGGTATGAAGATATACCATTTTAATTTCTTACTATTCTTAGACTATGAAAAAGCTCGCCTATTTTTATACATTACTATTTCAGAAAGCAAGAGGAAGCTCTTGTAAATGTCGAGGAAACTGAACTGGAACAAGCCAGTAGCAGTGAGACAGTCATGTCAGTCCAGACAGACACAAACACGGGTAAGTGCTGTGGCCATCCCAAGATGAGATTCATGGCTGTGCAAGTTATTTTATGTCCTGTTGCTAATTTGGAAAAACCTAGCCATGTGTCATTTCTGTACAAAGAAAACAAAGGTGACCTGTTTTTAGAAGGTTTTTATGTCTTGTGTATGAAAAACACTCTGGTGGGTACTACAGAGCACTGATTGTCAAAGTGTAGTCCCTGGAGCAGTAACATTAGCGTCACCTGGGAACTTGTTTGGAAGGCAATTTCTTTGACTCTCTCTGACCCAGACGTTCTGAAGCAGAAACTTTGGGTGTGAAGCCCAGCTACCGGAATTTTGACCAACTCTATATGATTCTGATCCATGCTCAAGTTTGAGTGAGAACCCTTGCCCATGGATTCAGGAATGAATAAAACACACTGAGTTCAAGAAGTATACTCTTTATGTACCTTTGGTTTCATGACTACAGACAGAATTTTTTTTCTTATGAGAATTATATTATTTTGAGATGATTTTAAACTATGTGTTTAATATTCAGTAAATGTTAACATGACCAGTGTGTCAAAAAGAAGGGAGATAGGTTTATTTCAGCTTACAATTCCAGGTCACATAGGAGGGAATTCTTGGTGGCAGGAGCTTGAACCCGTCACATTGTATCCACAGCCTGGAAGCATTCATATGGCTTGCTTGCTTTCTGGTGCTCAGCTAACTTTCTCTACTCATATACAGTCCAGAGCCACAAACCAAGGAATGATGCTGCCCACTTTCAAGCTAGGTCTTCATACATCGACTAAGGCACTCAGTATAATCCCCCACAGATATGCACACAGGCCAACCTGATCTAGATAATCCCTCATTGGGACTGTCTTCCTAGGAGATTCTAGATCGTGTGAAGTTGACAAGAAAACTAACCATCACAGAAACATGTATCTCAATCAGTTCAGTTATTTGAAAATAATTCAGCATCTTCTACATTCAGCTCTTATAATGCATACGATGTGTAGCATATGTCCCTAAGAGAGATAGGTCAAAATAACAATGCCAGGCATACTTTGATGAGTGCTATTTGAATGGAATGGATAAAAATATTGTAGAAAGAACTTTTACGATTTGAGGGGGGGGGGTAAAAAAGAGAATATAGTCTGAAAATGTTTCATGTGTTGCTTTTAATAACTCACAACCCTAACTTTCAACTGTTTTAAAATTTAAAAGCAGTGTATAATAGTCCAGGCCCTTTCTGAAATGTCAGGTTGGGAAATAGTGCAAGTGTACTTTTATTATGTAGAACAAGGTCATAATCTGGCCCACTGAAGGATGTAACCTCAAATACAACAGTGAGTTTACTTTTCCTATGCTAGTGAACCAGAAGCTTTAGTAACTGCTACATTTGATATTTTCTTATAGTTTGGACTCAGATGTCACCACCTGCAGAAAGCCCTGCAGTGCCTGCAAAATGTTCAAGCAGCTATTTCTACCGTACTTGTGACAACAACGAAGATGATAAGACCCCAGTGGTTAGTATGATGCACCAAATTAATATTCTTGAGGCACTTACACTGATGAAATAGGGCACATAGGAAACAATCTTTTGTCTGGCTCCTTGAGATTATTAGGTATATTCCATAGCTCAAATATTTGATGTAACTCTTACAAACATTAAGTAATCACTTCTCTCTATTAGACTTCATCCACGGAAGCTAATGAGATAGACAGTTTCCAACTCTTTATAAATTCATCAGTTTATTATCTATTTTATTTTATTTTGTCTTTTGAGACAGTCTCCCTGTAGGCCCAGCTCGTCTGGACCTTTCTATGTAGAGCAGGCTGGCATCTATCTCACAAAGAGCTGCCTGCATGCCTGGCTTATTTTATTTTCTGGCTGGTTCCCCTATGATAGTTTAGTCTGGCCTTGATCTCATGATCCTCCTGCCTTAGGCTCCTGAGTACTAGGATTGTGAGTGTGTGATTTCACATCCTACTCACTTTTACCTTTAAAAAATTAAGGTGTTTATCATTTCTCTCTCTTTCCCCCTTCCCCTCCCTCCCTCTCTCCCTCCCTCTCATATATATATATATATCATATATATAATTTTTCTTTAAGCTTTTAGTTTCAAATTATAAAATCATTAGACTCAACAAAAATACTATTGAGATGTCTTGTCCACCCTTCACCTAGTTTTCTCCAAAGGAAATTGACATTGGTACTATTCCCAGGCTTTATTCAGATGTCACCATTTCTTTATGTGCTTTTATATGTGTGTATATGTAGCTCTGTGTAGTTTTGTCCATATAGGTATGTATATGTTATTTTCCATATAGGCGTGTACACTAGACTTTAAAAGTAATGAAGCTTCAAATATACTTTAGAGATAAGTTTAGACTCTCACTTGGAGCAGAGTAAATAAAGATTATTTGTTATATACTATTTAATAACAAGTTCTGGGGAATATTTTATTGGGTTATCAAAAATCTGCTAATAATACCAAATGTCAGCATATTAGAATAACAAGGTACCCTGCAAAAGTGAAGGGAGTTGTTTCAGGGGAAAAGTAAAAGTGTTTCATAGAAGACATAGTTTTCAAGTTGTTAGGATCCCCCCGGATTGTTGGAGGAAATCTCTGCTTTTCTGGGTAAATCTCTTCTGAAGTCACTCAGAAGGTAGAGATGATACATTTTCTTTTAATACATATGTCTGTGTACATGTTGATGCATGTTTGTGTGTGTGGGGGGGTGTATGTGGAAGCTGGAGGACAGTGTCAGGTGTCTTCCTCAGGAAGGCCATCTGTCTGCTTTGAGACAGGGTCTCTCACTGGCCTGGATCTCATCAGGTAAGCTAGAGTGGCTGGCCAGCAAGCCCCGGCCATTCTCCTGTCTTTACCTCCCCAGAGCTTGGGTTACAAGCTCTCACTACTGTTGCAGACATTCTTTACATGGGTTCTAACTCAGGTCCCTTTACATACATGGCAGGCCCTTTACTGACTGAGCTATCTCCCCAGCTCCATGGGTGTGATATTCTGTAGTGGACTGTCCTTGGTGCCATTAAGAAAAAAACAATTCATTTTAGAAGGTCTAATGTTGGTGTAGGAGAGTAGATAAAGCTGTGACTTTGAAATCCTTCCTTTAAGAAAAGTAATATATGTCTTTTATTCTAATTATATGATGGGCAATAATGCATATTTATGGTAGCTTATACTTTACCCAATAATTTCTTAATTATATTAACAGTATTAGTAAGGGAAAGGCTGTTTTGTTAGCTATAATTTACAGAGGAGAAAATTAAGAGCGAGGAAGATATTTGTTGTAATTGTCTAGATTTGCAGTTCTCCAATTTTGAATGAAGCTCATTCTTAAAAATTGAGAACTTAAAAACTTTTAGTATGCGTATTATATCTGTTGACAATTTGTTACAAATTGAAAATGAGAAATAAAAGATTTAAATCAGTAGACCCATTATAATTTTGTATAAATATGAGTTTTATTAAACTGACATTTATCAAGAGTAAAAAGTTAGTGAGAAGTGATGCACTTTGAATAGTTTTGTAAATCTCTTTATCATCTGACTTAGTACAAGATAGATGCATTCTTATACCTGCTTTTGTACTCAGTCAGTTCTGCTGGCCTGGATCGGGTAGCCTATAGAATATGCGCCCACATACATGTGAGAAAGAGAACGGACTATGTCATAATGTGGTAGTGGAAGCTTGACATTTCAGACCATTGAATGGGTCTCAGGAGCAAACCTCAAATGGTCAGCTCCTTATAATTTGTAATCCTCTGGTTTAGACTAATAATAAAAATAAATGAAATTTCCTTAATTAATATTATTGGTGGGTGAATTAGATTGGAATAATTGGTTAGATGTGAGTAAGAAGTCAGAGGAAGAGAGTTAGTGTTTAAATATTTGCTATAGCTGGTCTATAAGGAATTTCCCAGGAACTGGGTCTTAATGGGTCTTAGTTATGGAATCAGAAGACAAAGTTAATTGGCCAAAATGCTTTAATCATGGCTTGGGTTGGAAATGCAAAACAACCTATTGGATTTCCTCATTCACTAATTTTCTGAGTTGTGCTACTAAAAACATACAAAAGAGCAATGTGATGCAGTTCACAATCCTCCTCATCTCAAAATTAAGACGAAGCCAGGCACGGTGGCACATGCCTTAAATTCTAGCACTCAGAAGGCAAAGGCAGGTAGATCTCTGAGATCAAGGCCAGCCTTGTCTACATAGAGAGTTCCAGGCCTGCCGGGGCTACAGGGAGACCCTGTCTCAAAAAAATAAAAATAAAACAACAACAAAAAAGAAGTTTTAAGAGACCCTGTCTCAAAGGAGGTGGATGTTTCTAAAGACACCTGAAGTTATCCTCTGGCTTCTACATGCACATGCACACACATGCACATGTGCCTGCACCAAGGCACCCACACATGAATACACAACATGTACACATGTATGCACAGACATTAAAGAAGAAATTGAGATGAGCTGCTCATTTGTTTTACTTTATCAAGACAGGACCTGAGAAGCAAGCCAGTCACGGTGATGCATGCCCATAATCCCAGCATTTGAGAAGCCAAGACAAGAAGACTGGGAATTCAAGGCTAGCCTGGGCTACAAATTGAGACCTCTGTCTCAGAAACAAAAACAAAACAAAACTGAGGAATAATGGTTCCACTTGCCTTGTAGAGACCTGTGTTGGAGATGGCTCTCCTATTTCGATGAAGCTACTGTGTCAAGTGCCAAGTAGCTCTTGCTTGCCCGCTTCTCTGCCCATGTGGAAATACCGCTCAACAGACTTCCAACCCAAATGATGTGAATGTTGTTTTCAGGTTAATTCTTTTGGACATGCAAAGAAACAGCAGTGTATACTTATTTCTTTTCTTTCACTTAAAAAACATTTTAAACATTTTAATTGTAGTACTCTTTATTCCCAAAATTGTGTGGTAAATGTGTAAGACATTGTGCTGGATAAATTCTCATCTCAGAATACTTTTGACTTGAAAATTATTTCTTCTCTATCTACTTTGTAACCAAATGCAATCAATCAGCGTGCCTTGAATTATTTAGCTTATTATGAATTAAGTTAAAATTATGGCTGCAAAATGATTAAGGCCAAGTGAAGCACAACATTATGATTTAATAGGCTTTATTAGACTTAAAGCTTATGTGCCCATTCTTTTAAACTGTAAGAGATACAAAGTTCAGAATTTGGGGGGGAACACACTAGTAAAATTTGTTCAGGGCTATTGCCTTTTTTATGCGTGCCAAGATAAAATTTTCATGAGAGTAGTTTACAAATAATTGTATTTAAAATTTAATATTTTCATGCTTTTTTTCTTTTCTGAATTTATGCTTATAATTCATGTAACAAATTAGTTGTGCTCTATTATCTTCTGTACATTTCATGCTGTAATTCTTTTCCAAATAAAAATGAAATCTACGGGTCGAACAGACACACTCTCAGCTTTTTTTTCCCCCGCAACACAACCTGCATAGGTGCTAAAGCTGTCAACATTTAACATTCAGGTAAGGACTGAATTCATTATGTCATGGACAGCAGATAGTTATGCAAGTCATTTTGCAATCAAATTTGTAATACAGTTTTTCATTACAACTTTACAGTCTCCAGGTCAGTATAAGGAAGGCCCTAGCAGACTGCAGAAAGAGAGATTCAGAATACCTCCTAGTTAGAAATGGAGAAGTCATCCAGTTTCTGCATGAAGGAGTTGAAGGTCAGTGGCAGACATGTTTGCAGTACCTGTGTGGACTTCAGGCTGGCTGCACCGGCAGCAAGTCAAAGATTCTGCCTTGTGTCTTTGTTATACGGTCTCCAGCAGCAGCAGACATATTACAGTGATGCCTTTCATTTTCGTTGCTTCAGCAAAGCTTGCAGAGCTCACTGAAAAGATTATTAAATTTGATGCGTGAAAGACACTGAAAGAATCAAGCACGGTATATCTACATGTTATTTACCTTTGACTCAAAAGATTTAGCTGATACATCTGACCCTCGTAATGGCTACAGACCACATTCCATTCGGTTGTTTAAGTCATTCATTAATCACATATCTAGTGAGTGGCCACTAAGTGTCAGGGACTCTGCTTTGCCATCTTGCAAGACAGTCACAATTCTATTTATCAGCTCAAATATTGACATTTAGCTTTCTCAGTCAGTCCTCATAATTTAACTTTATGGAGCAACAAGTGTAGTCGTGGTTCTCTCAATATTCTGGTTCATTGTCAAAGCACCGAAAGCAAGAAGAAAATATTGCTTTGAAGAAGACTGAACGAAGCTCCTTAACTCTTTCAGAAATGCTACATTTCATATCCTTCACTGTGTCAAAGGCTTAGATAATAAAAATGAGTGATGAATCATTAATGACCAGGATTTTTTCTAATAACCTTTTGTAGGCTTTGTAGATTATTCGAAGTTCTCAAGCAAATGCAGTGTCATTAAAGTCTGTCAACACGAGACAGCCTTGTGAAAATCGGAACTGCAGTGGACGCTCTTTGTTCTTATGTTTTGATAGTAATTCATTTATTATTTAGGTTGGTGAAAAATCGAAGCAGAAGCAAACAAGGTCTGATTCCCTAGGATAACTTACAGTTTTTAATTGGTAGCCATAGATTTCAGAATGTGAAAATCATAAGGATAATATGAATAAACTATCTTATATTTGCACGTTAAAATTTTTAAATTTTGCTCTGTGTGACACTAACATAGCATAAACCTTTCTGTAATTAGAAATAAAGCTACGACTAGATTATGGTAATTAGATTTAAATTTCTTTAAAAAAATCTCTACCTATAAATAAAGTTTTATAAACATATTAAACTTTTCCTGATAAGGTTAATAGGACTGAAAGATTTTAAATACTGTGACATATTGTAACAGGTCGTTCTGAATGTAATACTGAACTGAGGATATAATTTTTTTAATTTTATTATTTTTATTTTATGTGTATGAGTGTACTGCCTGCATGTGTGAAGTGCACCCGTGTCATGCATTGCTCTCAGGGGTCTAAAGAGTGTGTTGGATCCCCTGGAACTAGAGTTACAGATGGCTGTTAGCTGCCATATGGGTGCTGGAAATCGAACCTGGGTCCTCTGTAAGAACAGTCCATGCTCTTAACCACTGAGCCATCTCTCCAGTTCCCCTGAAGATATATTTTTAGGATCTTGTTGTTCATGAATGCTTTACCAATGTATGTTTTTACTTCATCGTACGAACATATTATTCTGTATGAGGGGTTTTGCTACATGTATGTGTGTGCACACACATACACCTTTGTCCATACTAAAGACTTAAGTGTGAAGGTACTATGAAGGAGTGAGAAGTAACTTAGTGTTCTTTTTTATTAACCTTAGTAAGGAAAGAAAATTTCTTTATATAAAACAGTAGTCTTACAGATTTTCTCCTTATGACATTTACCTAGTTATAAAACCATAGTACACAGAAAGAAAACAAGATAATCGATCATGCACTAGTTCTTTTGAAATGCAAGTTTTGAGACTTGTATTGAAGTCCATGTAATGATATACCATTTAAAAATATTTTTATTATTTTTATGTGTATGCGTATATTGCCTGCTTGTGGGTGAGTGCACCTGTGTCATGCAATGCCTGCGGAGGACAGAAGAGACTGTTGGATCCCCTGGAACTGGAGTTACAGACAGTTGTTAGCTGCCACATGGTTGCTGGGATTCAAACCTGGTTCTTCTGCAAGAACATTCAGTGTTCTTAACTGCTGAGCGATCTCTCCAGCCCCTGATATGCCATATTTTAAATGGCTCTTAAAGGCTAAAAGTAATTTAATTGGTTCCAAGTTTCATAAATAAAAGGAAACCCAAACTAAGGATAATAATGCTCAATGTATGTTAAGTAATGGGTCAATTAGAACACCCCAGGGTCACCTGAGTCACCTCTGAAAGTTTTCATGCACCAATTGTTGGTACTATTTAGGTAATTGTTGAATTATTTAGATGACTGGTAATCAGAACAGTTCCTTAGACCACCAATGAGAACTGATTGCTATGTATTTACAATTTACTTTTAACAGTTGTACAGCACACAATTACTTTTAAGACTGCAAAGAACATTTACCAAGATAGAACATATCCTGTTTCCTAAAACAACCCTTAATTAAATTAAAGAAACTGGAATCATATAATCTCAAGGCATTACATTAGCAATCAATATCTCCAAATATTTCAATTTTATACAGTAAACATATAAGTAACATAGGATCAAGGGAAGTTAGAATGATTTCAAATTGTATGAAAAAGAAACTGTAACATCAGAAATACACGAATGCAACTGAAGAGGGAAAAACTGGCAGGAAATGTATAGCTTTAAATACTTGCATTATATATTTTAAAATCCTTGTAATTTAGCATATTAACATAATGAAGGAGAAAATTATATGTAGGCAGTTAAATAGATGCAGAAAAGCAATGGACAGAACTCCACAGTTATTCATTATAAAACACTTAGCAAACCAGAAAGAAAAGGAATTTCTTTAATCTGTTAAAGCTCACTTATGAAAATCCACTAGCTTACTTAGCATACATGATGGAGAAATACTGGAAGCTCTTCCTCTAACACTGGAGAGAAGCCACAGCCATTCCCTCTGACCATTTCCATTTAACATTAATACTAGAATTCCTAGCCAGTGCCATAACTTACGGAAAACATAAAAGACAAAAGTGCCATGATTAGCAGATTATATATGTGCTCAAAATTATAAGGATGTACTCCCTAGAACTAAGTGAATTTTACAAGGCCCTATGACAAATTATTATGAAAAATAAATTATATATCCTAGCAACAAAGAATTGGAAAAAATGAAGTTTGAAAAAGCAACATTTACATATATGGAGGGATCTATGTCTGAAATCACCATTTGCAGTTTTATTTATGCCACAGTGTATCAAGCATTTTGTTTGTATCAAGTATTAAATCCAGGTATGTAAATTCCTCCAAATATTCGTAATTCCTCTGCTTTAGACCTTTGTCTTGCCACACACACTTCAAAGTATTTTTTTGTTTTTTAAAAAATTATTTATTAACCACACACGTAGAAGAACCATTTCATTACAACAGCATTGACATACTCACTAACAATTTCCTGAGCTAAGATGCATCTCTTTCAAAATTGGCTGTAAATTTTTAGGTTTACAGTTGAATTATTACAGTTATACAATATTGTACTCAGTATGAACCCTATAAGACATAAATTTAAGTGAGATTTTACCCTTTAAAAAAGATCTCCATTTCATTATTAAAATACACCGTTTCATTCAGAAAAATTCATTTTTAATGCAATTGACATTAAGATGTTTACACATGCATTTCTAATCTCTATATATCTGATTATTACTAGTTGCATTCAGTTGCTTTCTGAGTTCCTTGGCATCTGAGCATGGATATAAAGTCATCAGGTAGATTTCAATGGTAATGTTTTTCACACCTACTAATTATTAAGGAGCAAATTTTTATGCTTTGACAAATTATTATTTTTAATCATTTTTTTAATTTTTAATAACTACATGAATAGAAGAAGCATTTCACTACAGCTTTAACATATTCAATAACACACTCCAGAGCAAGAGTACATCTCTTTCACAAGTGGGTGCAAGTTTCTAGGTTCACAGTAGAGGTAATACAGT